TTGAACCCGATCCAATATCAACGTTGAAGCCCGCGTAAAGCATAGGTCTAGTCATTTTTCATCTTTTATGGTTAAATCGAACCCGATCTAAGATCGAGGTTGAAGCCCATGTAAAGTGTGAGTCTAGTGTATTTTCATCTTTTATGGTTAAATCGAACCTGATCCAAGATCGAGGTCAAAGCCTGCGTAAAGCACAGGTCCAGTGCATTTTCATCTTTTCTGGTTAAATCGAACCTGATCCAAGATCGAGGTCGAAACCTGTGTAAAAGTCATGTCTGTCTCATTTTATTTTATCTTAGGTTAAATGAAACTCGATCCAAGATCGAGATCGAGTCTTGCGTTAAGCTAGGTTTGACACTTATCTTTCCAGCCTTTAAATAAAATTTTCACCTTCCAAATACTTTGTCTTTTTGTCTTTGTCTAACTGTTTCAGTTTTTTAAGAATACACAAAGGGGGTAAGCTATAGACACCGTATTTGGTTGCCTCAAATTATTATTCTCTTTTTTTATTATTATGTTTTATAAAAAAAAAGTTGATATTGGTTTTTATTTGTTTTTTTAATTATTGCTTTTAAAAGAAAAAGGAAAATAACTAAAAGCATTAAATAAATATAAATTGATTTTTTTTATAGAAAAGTAAGCATTTCTTTAAATGATAAGGTTTTTTATTTTAAAGTGAGTTTTTTTTAAGTGGATCAAAGCTAATTAATATAAAGTTTCCAATTTTGAAAGTTTCTTAGTCAAGTGTTATACATGTGGTTTAGTTCTCCTCCTTTTTATCTCTAAATTCAGTTCTGGACTTCCTAAAAATACATTTTTTTTTACCTATATAAAGGGAGTGTTTAATTCTTTGAAGGGGAGAGGGAAGAAACCAAAAGGAGAAAGAAGTCTTTCCACTTTATGGGAAAACCCACCATGGCCCACCATCTCTCTTTAAAAAAAACTCTTTCGTCCTCTCTCATACATAAACCAGTTACCTCATGTTGGGTGTGTTGTCCTAGTAGTTTGTAATTATGTAAAAACAAATTTATATTCAATAAAGTTTTGGTTTCATATTCAATCAATTTGTTGTTGAATTTATAGCACTGCATTGTCCAAATCCAATAAACTAAACATCCAAGGTTATTATCATGTAACCAGGATAGTATATACACTGGGTATATATTTGATATATCCCTAATATACAAGTGGATAATGTCCCGAGAATAACCTAAAGGGTCTATAGTATTGGGTACCTTATCCTGACAACACTATGGATACGACTCGCTTTGTAAATGTTACAGATGACCTGATCCATGTCGTTCGGGAGACATGCGAGTGGGAGTATCCTATACAATGAGTTTGTATAAGACCGGATCGCGAAATAGACAATCTTTATATGTAACATCGTTGACTAACAGATTGCTATTTCATAAGATGACCAGACAACTTATTCTCAATCCTAAGTGAGTTATGGACTCCTGCCCGTGAGGGTTCGTCCTTTGATCTGTATGGGTGAGAGTGGCCCAAGTCGCCGACTCAACATTCTTACCATTTTGAGGATGAGACCGAGTGGGGAGCTGGGAACATAACTTCATGAGATGAAATTCACCCCTCCCCAATTTTAGGGATTAGATGAGTGTTCCCTTTAGTGATGACTCCAGGACTTGAATAAGGGGTCACACCCTCTCACTGGCTCGAGAGGGACTTCCGGTTATTGGTCAGACTAGAACCGGGTTGTTCATTAGAGGATCAGTGATACTTAAGGTACAAGATGTAACATATGGGTAAAACGGTAAATTGACCCATCTGTGGTTAAAAAACACGCGTAAATGATTGACTTGCCATTAATGGTCGATATCCGTGGAGACAGAAATATTCTATACGACAACGAATGACAGCATCACACCTCAGATGGTGGCGACAACAACGAATTCCAAGGATTAGAAGAGGTGAGAAAATGTGGGTTATAAAGTTTTTTTTTATAAGAAAGAGAAAAGTTTTCTTTACAATATTTTTTTTAAAGGAAAAAACCTTTTAAAACAAGGTTGAAGTACTTTTTTGGAAAAGAAAGTAAAATATTTAGCAAATAAAATTTGTTTAAAAAATTAAAAATAGTTGTTTTTTTTTAATGAAGTAAATAAAAAGTTGATTTTTAAAATAAAAGTTTTGTTTTAAAATAAATTTTTCAATAAAGTCTTCTAAAGTTTTTTAGAAAAGGAAAGAAAAGATTTTTATTCTAAAAGAAAATAAAGCTTTTATACTATTTTAAAATAATTATTTTGAAAACTCCAATGACGGAGATTGAAAATATATATAACTTTCCAATATTTTCGAGAGGATTAATTTTCTTAATGACCTTCGTGCTGTTAATTCACGTTTTATCTTAAGATGTGAATTAATAAATGATGAGACATTTAAAATAAAAAATAGTTCTTTTAGACCAAATAAATATAATAGGATAATTTATGACAAAATTTGGTAACCTTTTTCAAGCGAGTGTTATAGGGTGCTAACATGTTCTCTACGCTCAATCGACTCACGAACAAAAAATTTGTTTTTCGCATACCGTTTTTCATTTTTTAGGTGACCAATCACACCTCGTAGATGATTAGTAACGACTCCAAACTCTTATCTCGAAAGAGGCCCTTTAGGGGATGACGCAGGCTGCTCCGGATGGTGATGACATTGTGACATACGAAAATAGAGAATTGGAGGAGTTTTGTTATAAATGGAAGGATTTATAGATTATTATTGATTGGAGAAAACTCGGGGAATAAATCAGATGGAGCCCACTAGAGAATGAATTTTAAAAATTTGAATACATCAAATACATGGAAACCAAATATGTTAACTCCGACGGTAGCGACAACAACGAATTTCGGCGATTAGAAGAAGTGAGAAAATGTGGGTTATAAAGTTTTTTTTTTTTTAAGAAAGAAAAAAGTTTTCTTTTAAAATAAAATATTTTTTAAGTAAAAAACAAAAAGATTTCTTTTTTTTTAATAAATTTTTTTTTAAAATAAGCAAACAAAGTTTTTTTTAAGGAAAAAATCCTTTTAAAACCAAGTTGAAGTACTTTTTTGAAAAAGAAAGTAAAATATTTAGCAAATAAAATTTGTTTAAAAAAAATAAAAAGAGTTATTTTTGTTTAATGAAATAAATAAAAAGTTTATTTTTAAAATAAAAGATTTTATTTTAAAATAAATTTTTCATTCTAAAGTTTTTTAGAAAAGAAAAGAAAAGATTTTTATTTTTAAAGAAAACAAAATTTTTAAAACTATTTTAAAATAATTATTTTGAAAACTCCAATGACGGAGATTGAAAAGATAGCTTTCCAATATTTTTCAGGGGATTAATTTTCTTAATAGCCTTCGTGCCACTCATGATTGTTAATTCATGTTTTATCTTAAGATGTGAATTAATAAAGTATGAGACATTTAAAATAAAAAATAGTTTGACTTTTGGAAGACCAAATAAATATAATAGGATAATTTATGACAAAATTTGGTAACCTTTTTCAAACGGGTATTATAGATTGCTAACATGTTCCCTACACTCAATCGACTCATAAATCAAAAATCTGTTTTTCGCATACCGTTTTTCATTTTTTAGATGACCAATCATACATCGTGGATGATTGGTGACGACTCCAAATTCTGATCTCGAAAGAGACCGTTTAGGGGATGACGCAGGCTGCTTTGCATCGTGATGACGATGTGACATACGAAAATAGAGAATTGGAGGAGTTTTGTAATAAATGAAATGATTTATAGATTATTATTGATAGGAGAAAACTCGGGGAATAAATAAAATGGAGCCCACGACAAAATAAATTTTAAAAATTTGAATACATCAGATTTAATACGTGGAAACCAAATATGTTAACTTTTGAATAAATATTAAATCTAATTATTTAAATAAAACACAAATCTCATTAAATCAAATAGTATTAATTGAAGGCAAATGTAGGATAAACAAAAAGAATATTTCAAATAGTATAATAATGTAAACAAAGACAATTTGTGAAATATAGTTTATATTTTGACCTACGGAAGACAATTCCTCTTAAAAAAAAGTAATTCATTTGAATAAATTGAAAACTTTTTTAGATCATATATGTCAATTTCCCCATGGTTTAGAGAAAATTGATAAAATTGACCTAAAAAATTTTACACATAGTTCAAATGACGTAAGCTTTCAAAATTATTTTTCTCAATATTTTATTTAATTAAAAAAATTTGAAATTACAATTATGTCCCTTCTCTTCTCTTCCCCCACTTATTTCTCTTCCATTCTCAAACTTCTCTTCTCTTCCCAATTTCTATTTTTTTCATGTAACATTTCCTCACTCACATTTTTTAAAAGCAATTGCATATATGATATGAGCGGGGAGGACTTCTGATTCGAACCCTTCATCCCAAAAGATTGAGAGGATTATTATTTTTTTTTAAAGAAAGGTTAAAAATTCGCTTCACCTAACTTGTAGTCCGCACTCTACTTTGAAATTTGTTTTGTTTTATCTTAGTATGTTCAGTTTTTTCTTAGGCAAATTATTTGAAGAACGATGTTGCCGAAAACTTTGGGCAGAACTCACGCGAAGTTGCTCATTTTCTTTTGGAATTTGTATGTTTCCTCGGGCTCAAACTTGGCCGCATGTTAGCTTGAGAAATGTTACAGAGGCAAGAATGTGGAAACTTGTGCGTGTTTTTGCACAAGTTAGGGTGCAAAATGATAACTCGTGCGAAACTTTAGGGGCTTCCCCAAGTTTTTGTACAAGTTTGTTGAACATGTCTTTTACTCGGGCACAAATTTGGGTGGATTTTAGGCCAAGGAACAAAAACAGTAGCTTTGTAAATTCATTTGGCATGTCAGAAAAAACTGATTTAGGCTAGAAAAAATAAGTTTTCAAACGGTGAGTCGTTTTTTTAAAACTTTTTAAAATTATTTCGACCAATTTCCCATTGTTGAGCCTATACCAAACCCACGAAAGATCATGTTGCACACCAGCATGTCCAGATTTCTCCGAAGGAGCTGCTCCGATTCTTCCGCGACATGGCGCTGATGCGGCGGATGGAAATCGCCGCTGACTCTCTCTACAAGGCTAAGTTGATCCGCGGGTTTTGTCATCTGTACGATGGCCAGGAGGCCGTGGCTGTGGGGATGGAGGCCGCGATTACGAAGAAGGACGCGATTATTACAGCTTATCGCGACCACTGCACCTTCCTCGGTCGAGGAGGAACTCTCCTGGAGGTTTTCTCGCAGCTAATGGGACGCCAGGCTGGGTGCTCGAGGGGTAAAGGTGGTTCTATGCATTTCTATAAGAAGGACGCTGGATTCTATGGTGGCCATGGTATTGTCGGTGCTCAAGTACCTCTTGGATGTGGAGTGGCGTTCGCGCAGAAGTATTCCAAGGATGAGACTGTTACTTTTGCTCTTTATGGCGATGGCGCGGCGAATCAGGGTCAGTTGTTTGAGGCGCKCAATATCTCCGCGCTTTGGGATCTGCCTGTCATTCTCGTGTGCGAGAACAACCATTGTAAGAATTTAGTGAAAAAATTCAAYCTCAAATTGGACGTTGGAGTTTTTTCGCTGTCTCTATTCGTCATGTTCTTGATTGATTTAGTTCCATTTTGGTTGGATTTTTGTTAGACGGTATGGGGACTSCTGAGTGGAGAGCAGCGAAGAGTCCATCTTATTATAAACGTGGGGACTACGTTCCTGGATTGAAAGTGAGGCTTCTCTATCCATGTTTTTTTAATTGCTAAATATATACYATTGATGCTGATTATCTYAATTTCCTTTTCTCGTCTTGTCACATGGTTCGCTTCTTTAAGAAATGTTGTGGTGGTTTGTTTGATACTTGAGTCTTGAATATAGTTATCAAAAATTCTTTGGGAAGATAATATACAAAATCTTAAGTCATGAACATGGGGTGCGAAGTTACCACTGGGGATACATTATCTACTTGTATAACTCTGTATATCTTATTTTTTTCCCGCATGATTTACTCCAAAGACTTATCTGCCATATTCTCGATGCACTATGACTATAATGTCTTGAGTTCAAATTGAGAGCAAAGAGGCTGACACTTCCCCTTTGTATCTGCCTATCTGGGCATGAGTGTTGTGGTTGTATCTGTGTGCTTTTCACTTCTGATAAACCATCACATAATGTTAACAAGTTTCTGCTTCTTCGTGGAGAGAGGTTTCCATGGCAAGTGCCTTCACTTAAATATTGTCTTACTTGTCTTTTGCAGGTTATCAAAGAGGTCCAACCTTCATTTTCTTTAAGCATATTTGACTAAATTAGTAAATTATCTTCTCATTCATGAATTTCTTAAAAGTAATGGAAGGCTTCAAGGTATTTTGACAAATAAAATATATGTATGCCTAATTATATATATGATTCTTATCTAAAATATCATCTTCATTTTTTGCTGTGTGTGTGTCTATATATTGATGAATAAGCCAACTTTCATTGAGATGAATGAAATACAAAAAAGGTTGCCCAAAACCTAGGCCAAACCAACACAGAAGCTACAGGAAGAAAAGAAAGGAGAAGAAAAGAGTCTCAAACCTTAATTACTAAATTTAGATGTAGGAAATCTATGGCCAACTACTATACAACACTTTGCCAAGTGAAGATGTTGTATGGATTAATGGCCCAAACATGGCAATCTCTATGCACAGGAAAGGTATCCACATTACTTGCATCACTATTTTTCAAAAAAATAAATCATGTTCATATCATGGTTAAAAATAAATAAATAAAAAATAAAAAGCATGCATATATGTTGTATTCATCTAGTTTTGTCATGCATGTGCATCATTATATCATGCATTCCTTGGTTAAATCAAGGAAACAGAAGAAGAGCGTTTTATAAATTTCCCAATTACATTCTCACTTTGCAAAGTTAATAAAAAAAATCTTTGCTTATCATTCATGACATGGGGGCAATGCACATTTACAAATTCACACATCATTCTTGTAAACGTCATTTACATGATAAGTAATGCATACTACCTTTGGAAATTTTCATTTGCATAAACACGCGGTTTGTGTTAGTCTTATCATYATGCGTAAAGTTCACATCTCATGTATTTAGACATGTTTAGGAGGATTTCTAAACCATGCACTTAGGTAAAGAACTTCTTAATAAATCAAATCACTTTACCTTTTTGGAACAATTGCATTTTATTTTATTTTTATTATTAAATTGAATCCGATCCAAGATTGAGGTCGAAGCCCGAGTAAAATGCAGGTCCAGTGCATTTCTATCCTTTTTGGTTAAATCGAACCTGATCCAAGATCGAGGTTGAAGCTGCGTAAAGTGCAAGTCCACTAATTTTCATATTTTCTAGTTAAACCGAACCCGATACAAGATTGAGGTCGAAGCCTGCGTAAAGCGGAGGTCCAGTGCATTCTCATCTTTTCCGATTAAATTGGACCTGATCCAAGATCGAAGTCGAAGCCCGCGTAAAGTGCCAGTCCAGTGCATTTTTAATCTTTTTTGGTTAAATCGAACCGGATCTAAGATCGAGGTTTAAGCCCGCGTAAAGCGCAGGTCTAGTGCATTTTCATCTTTTCTGGTTAAATCGAACCCGATTTGAGATCGAGGTCGAAGCCCACGTAAAGCGAAGGTCCAGTGCATTTTCATCTTTTCTAGTTAAATCAAACCCAATCTAAGAACGAGGTCAAATCCTACGTAAAGCGCAGGTCCAGTGCATTGTCATCTTTTTTGGTTAAATCAAACTGAATCCAAGATTGAGGTCAAGGTCCACGTAAAATGCAGGTGTAGTGCATTTCCATCTTTTTTGGTTAAATTGAACCTGATCCAATATCAACGTTGAAGCCCGCGTAAAGCAGAGGTCTAGTCATTTTTCATCTTTTATGGTTAAATCGAAACCGATCTAAGATCGAGGTTGAAGCCTGCGTAAAGCGTGAGTCTAGTGTATTTTCATCTTTTATGGTTAAATTGAACCTGATCCAAGATCGAGGTCGAAACCTGCGTAAAGCAAAGCACAGGTCTAGTGAATTTTTATATTTTCTAGATAAATCGAACCTTATCCAAGATCGAGGTCGAAGCCCGCGTAAAGTGCAGGTCCAATGCATTTTCATCTTTTCTAGTTAAATCGAATCTGATCAAAAATCGAGGTTGAAGCTTGTGTAAACCGCAGGTATAGTGCATTTTTATCTTTTCTAGTTAAATCGAAGATCGAGGTCAAAGCCCGCGTAAAGCGTAGGTCCAACACATTTTTCATCTTTTCTGGTTAAATTGAATTTGATCCAAGATCGAGGTCGAAGCCCACGTAAAGCGTAGGTCCAACACATTTTTCATCTTTTCTGGTTAAATCGAATTTGATTCAAGATCGAGGTCGAAGCCCACGTAAAGCGTAGGTCCAATGCATTTTCATCTTTTTTGGTTAAATCAAACTCAATCCAAGATCGAGGTCGAAGCCTGTGTCAAGCTAGGTTTGTTACATCTTATCTTATCTTATCTTTGGTTAAATCAAACCCGATCCAAGATCGAGATCGAAGCCTGTGTAAAAGTTAGGTCCGTTGCATTTTATCTCATTTTCGGTTAAATCGAACTTGATCCAATATCAAGGTCGAAGCCTGTGTAAAAGGCAAGTTCATTGCATTTTATCTGATCTTTGGTTAAATCGAATCTGATCCAAGATCGAGGTCGAAGCCTGTGTAAAAGTCAGGTCCGTTGCATTGTACCTCATTTTCGGTTAAATTGAACTCAATCAAAGATCGAGGTCGAAGCATGTGTAAAAGCCAAGTTCATTACATTTTATCTCATCTTCGATTAAATCGAACCTGATCCAAGATTGGGGTCGAAGCCTGTGTAAAACGCCAGATTCATTGCATTTTATCTCATCTTCGGTTAAATCAAACCTGATTTAGATTGAGGTCGAAACCTGTGTAAAAAGTCAGGTCCGTTGCATTTATCTCATCTTCGGTTAAATCGAACCTGATCCAAGATCAAGGTCGAAACTTGTGTAAAAGTCATGTCCGTCTCATTTTATTTTATCTTAGGTTAAATGAAACTCGATCCAAGATCGAGATTGAAGGGATGTGAATCCCGGAGCGGAAACGGATTTTCGTTGCTGATTTTTGAGATACAAAATCGAATTTTAAAGAAGAAAAATACAGGGGGAAAACAAACCTTTGAAGAACGTTTCTTCAACGAGTTTCTCTCGAACACCACCACTATGTCTTCCTCGCTATCCTCTTGGGTCTCAGGATCGTGCTGGTGGGAACAATCTTTTGGAACGAGAGGGGAAAGAAACCGAGAGAAGAGCTTGATCAAGAGAAAAGAAAACCGAGAGTTTTTCTTTTGTGTTCTGTATTTTGCAGAATTGCAAAATACAAAACCAAAACAGTGACGTGGGGTAACTCCCCACGTCACACTAACCTCTCACTCCCCTGCAATTTTGCAGGGGAGTTTAATATTATTAATATTAATAATATTAATAATATATATATATATATATAAATAATTAATATATATATAATAATTAAAATATAATAATTAATTTATTAATTAATCATATTAATTCATAAATAATTATTAATTATTAATCCAATTAATAATTAATATATATATATATATATAAATCAAATAAATAATTAACACTTAATTATTTATCACAAAAAATAGAATCATATTCTATAACATTTCTCTCGTATAACCAACCTATAGTTCTAATGTGCATCTCATGCACATTATTTTTAACATATAGTTTTAATATGAATCTTATTCATATTAATTTTATTTAATCTCATTCAAATAATTTCTCTCATAATATATAGTTTGGTTTTATAATTAATTATAATGTATCACTATACGTATAATCCCTTTAAGTAATTTGAACAATTCAAATTCTTCCAAAAACTTGATCCTCGTTTTACCCGTTATGAGCTAGCAAGGGGACCTAATGGACCTACAGATCCGAAGCTTCAAAGATGCAAGATTAATCGATCAAACTCATTAACCGAGTTAATCAAGATTCGTTAACTACGGGTCATTCCACTAAAGACCCGTAGTTGCACTCTTCTCAGTGCAGGACGTTTTCGTGTCCACGGATATACGATCATTAACGACGAGTCAATCCTTCACGAGTGCTCGTAACTCAAGTTGGGTCAAATTACCGTTTTACCCCTGAGTTACATCTTACTTCTTAAACACCACTGCTCCTCTAATGAACAACCCGGTTATGGTCCAACCAATAACCCGAACTCCCTCTCGTCCAATGAGAGGGTGGGGCCCC